ATCCAAGCCCGGAACACAACCTCCTAAGTCATCAACACACGTGAATGTGGATGACCCCTAAACCCTATACCCTATCGCAGGCTGCCCCGGTCTCGTCAGGCAAAGGAGGAATCGAAGCGAGAAAGCTCCGGCACACAGGGTGCGGCGCGAGAAGGTGATGCCGTCAATGTAGAGCAACCAATAATCCCTGTAGTTTCCCTTTTCTATTCCATTATCCCAATAGAACCCAAATATATATGCCTATAATCCCTATACATCCCTATATAACCCCTATATAGCCCCAATGTAACCCAAATGTACGCCTTCGAACCAAATTCTTCCACCTCTTGTTGTCTTCACGCCTCTGCCTGTCGAGCTTCCTCCACCGCCTCTTGGTTTTTCCCGTAGGGTTTAAGGTTTAGGGCGGCATAGGCATCCTGGTCCGAAGCCCCTAAACACAATCCTACAGATTGCTCAATAACTGCACAACATCTCGGGCTTAGGACTGTGGCGGGCTAATGAATGGTACCAGTTATGCTGGCGTCTATACACTATGCCCTCAACCTTGAACGGCTAAACCTCAGCCCCGAAACCAAAGTCCTAAATCCTAGGCCATCCTAAGCACAAAGCTGCGCTGCAGCCAAGTCACAGCACGAAGAGTCTCTTTAGCCTGGACGAGAAGCATCCCATTGAACAAGGGTGACTTGGTTACCCAAGCTAAGCAGAAGCTTTGGAGTTTAGAGGTTGAGGGTCGATTTATAATTCAAAGTTGCGGCGGTAGAGGCTGGAGCTTCGTGCTTGGGTTTGGAATGTACAGTAAATAATGACATAATATCTTGGTCTTGGGTTTAGAGCTGAAGTCTTCGGATTTAGGAATTAGAGTTTAGGCTTTGTTCGTAGGTCCCTTCTTGGGCCCCATTGCAAGATGGCTGCTAATGCATAAGCTAAACAAAAAAAAGGAACATAATTTCCCCAACTGTGAGTATAATGGCAAAGAGTTTCGGCATCGATTGTAGAGGCACGAGGCCAATGTCATCCTTCATGGGGTCTATTAAACTGTGTCAGGCCTCAAGGTTCACTCCCTAGCCAAGAGCGGGAACCTCTATCTCATGAGTATCCCCCTAAACCCTAAACCCTTCCTACCATCATTTTTCAGAAAACGGCACACGGAGGAAGGCGGCCTTGTAGTACCTCTTAACAGCCCGAAGCGAGCATATCAAGGGCCGAGGTCCAACAAAGAACATCCTCATCACCACTCATAGCAAAAGACTCTGAAGGCAGGCTCAGGAGTGGAGTTAACATATGGGTTTAGGGTTTAGGGTTTAGGGTTTAGGGTTTACGGGTTGTCATACTTATGGTCCCTTTTTGGATACCCTAAATATTAGGTGCCGTATTATAATAGGGATCCAAAAAGGGACCATAATTTTGACAACCACCCATATGTGGTTTAAGGGTTTCGCGAGGATGGATGAGATTCTGCTTATGTTATTGCTGCCTGTAAACATGGAAGTTAACACTAAAACTTACGGTAACTGCCAGAACATCTGGGCCCCAGCATGGACCCCAATATTCTATGATCCTCACTATACGTACTCCCACGAGGCCACCCCCAATTCTCTACACACCCCATGCCAGTGTTGCACACTCACGGACTGAAACCAACAAACATCACGCACTTTCAAGGCCGCATGAAGTAGGGTTGTTTACGGGAATCTTACCCCCAAGACAAGAAATCAAACGGATGAGAACATGGAAGATGAAATCGAAACTGGGACTATGACAGAGGCTAGGGTTATGTCAAATAGGGTTGCTGTTATGGCTTTGGGTGTGAGTATACTGTGTTCCTTAGGACTGCTGTTGAGTTTCTATTGGGAGTTCTGTGGAGGATGCCTTAAAGTAAGACCAGGGGAACCAGATTCCAAGCAGCCTAAACCCTCGACCCTAAACCCTAAACTCTAAGCCTCTAAACCCCTAGACCGCGAGTAGTCAGAACTCCACGCAATCAAGGGAGCTAGGAGGGCCTCTAATGCACCGGGAAGATGTGGAGGAGAGCTACGCATGAAAGAAGGTGCTTTGGGGTTTGGGGTTCAGGTCCAGTGTTTAGGGCTTAGGGAGCCCAATATATTATAGACTCCTCTTCCAAAAGAGGCCCAATTTTTTGGAAACCCCATACCATGCCCTAGAACCCTAGCCCCCCCAAGCCATGGTACTAAGAATGCACTAGCGCCTGTCCAAAAACGACAAAAACCAAGCCCTACCCTTTCCCAGCCAAAGAACAAGATCCCATTTGGGAGTTTCCCAAAATTAGGGGTACCTTTTGGGGGTCCCCATAATAAGGACTATAGTATATGAAGGTCTATATTGGGGTCCCCCTATTTGGGGAAACTACCGTTTGGGGTGTTTGCCTAAAAAATCTTTCCGAAACCACAGGGGGCCTCACAACAAGCCGCGATCACGGATGACATGGTGACTAAGTCCGGGGACAAGCCCTGCGCACATGCACTGAATCGGGTTTCATGGAGTTGCGTGAGGGTCTGAGCCTTCAGGGCTGTCCGGGATTTGAACTCCAGGGTGTGAGATTCGTTTTGGGCCAGGGGGTAAAAGCCTCAGCGATTTGGCCCTTCCCTATGGTTTAACTGAGGTTTCAAATAGGATAAGTATACGTATAACGGTACAACTGGCTCTAACCTCACTTGCGCGACGCCAAAGCCCACGCATAACTACTCCGGAAAGCCCTGCACAAAAAAACAGCTTGACTCCATGATTCATATAACGCCTGTATACCCCAAAAACCTAAGCCCTAAACAATGAAAACATGTACAACCCCGTATATGACTACGCATGAACCCTGCCGTAGCACCGTTGGGAAGGAAAATGTAGCGCGGCAGTTGAAGCCAGAACAAATTCCCCGGTCTGCCTAGGGTTTAGGGTGTAGGGCCTAGTTATGGGTGCCAATGAAGGGCTTTTGGGGCTCTAGGGGATTTAGGGGTCGAGGTTTTCTGGTTTCTAGGGGCTTGAGGGTTTTCAATTTAGGTTTCAGCGTTTAGGGTTTGTTTTCAGACACCCAAAGCCCGGCACACAAAACGAGTAAAATCTTCCCCGTCTTGCCTGTGAACCATAAGCAATATCCCTGAAAAAACAGAAGGCGCGGGCCTCTTTTCAGGAGGAGTGAAATGCATTAGCAAGTATACGTAAACCCTAAACCCGAAACTGACTGGTGGTTAGTAGAGAATAAAGGAATATGATTCTCATTAATCCCTATATAATATGTCCCCTTCTTCCCTACTAAACCCTAAACCCGAAACCCTACACCTGAAACCCTAAACCTAAAGTATAAAGAGCCCTCTCCATGTCCGCCCCTCCTCTCCCATTCCGTGGAACAGGCTGAGTACCGGGATCCGAAGGCAAGCCCACGTCCCGGCCAAAGACGCCCCAAAACAAAAACCGGGTAGTATGTTGAACTTACTGGGGGGGGCAGTAGGGAATAAGGATATTACATAGGGATTATGGTATAGGGGTTATATTCCCTCATTCCCTGCTAACCCTAAACCCTGAGCCCAACATCTTATTCCCTTATTCGCTACGAAAAGCCACTAAGTTGAAAGGACCCCAAAATTATGTATGGCCAGGTTCCCTTAAATAGCAAAACAGATAGGAGCCACGAACCCGAATGCAGACACGTGTCACGTACATGCAATGATAATAACACCCCACAAGCGAAACCACTTAGGAGACTTAGGTCCGGGGTCATCCCTTTCTCCTCTGTCTCCTCCTCTCTCTT